AATTAAGTTATTGTAGTCCTACTTGCGCAATTAATTTTTTGCCCCAGTAGGCACTCATAACTCCTCGTCCATAAGGCTTGATACATACCTCGTTGGGTGTCTACACGTAGTGGTGGCAGCAACGCATTTAATGCGAATCGATTGCAGCGGAGTTACGCTGCTGCCTCACGCTGCATCAGCCAACGCAAAAAGTCCCCATACTTAGCTTCTCATTTTTGAGTAGCGCTGCTCGTGCTAATAAGCGCTGATCAGCGCTGCTCTAGATTTTGCAGCTGAGTTACGCTCACTTTTTCTGAACGTATCTCAGCTGCTTTGAGCTGCAAACAGCTGCTTTTGTTCGGATCTACCTATTTTACCGGTTTTCAGCAGTTAGCGCTGAATGCAATCTAATACCATCAATTTAGGATTCTAGAGGCATATATGAAAAAATATTGAAATGAATTAGAAAGACTTACTTTATGAAGTTCAAGAGATATAATCAAATCAACTACAGATCGGCAATAATTTAAGAAGCTGACGGTGTGGTCAGATAAAATTTTGCCTTCGTGGACTCGATCACGTCATTGCCTGAGGTATAGGGCGTCCGCGCAGGGTGCGGAGAGTGCGCAAGGTGTGTATGGCGCGTCACTCCTCTTTTCCCGTGCAATCCTGCCGCCTGTTTTCTCTGTGCCATGAACTATCTTCAACGGACGCGACAGCGCTGCTCTCCGGCCTATACACTCTCACATTGGACAGCCATTAATAAAGTTTGAATAAAAACACGCCTCTGCTCTTCTTTCTTTTTTTAAGGCTAGCTTTCCATTATAAGCTTGATAATGAAAGATGGAATATGTAGAACTCCTCAAAAGTAGAATATGACTCCAGATTCAACTCAAAATATGCTTTCTGGGCTTCGACATTATAAAAATTAGCGATAGCGCAGTTATTTTGGATGGTTTCTACACTCAACAAGTACTCAAGAAGAGCCGACTGCAGCGCTGATTAGCCGAAGGAGCGCTGCCTTCGCTGCTCGTTGCTTTTGTCCATACCTAAGCAGCGAGGTATGTATCAAGCCTAACGTCCCGCAGATGAAAAAGGAAGGTTTGGAAGTTGCATCTATGCTCTTCACTGTGGTATACATACCATCTGAAAAACCGCTTCGACTAATCATGTTTCCCTTTTGCACTCCTTCACATAGTAGGCAGACCACAGCAAAGAATTTGCCATAAATTCTTGCCCTTCGCTTCCGACATCCACGATGCCTTTGGTGGTCGTCGGTGACGCCCGCGAGTTACAGACGATGAATTAGTGTCCACATAACTCTTTAGCTGGTCCATCTGTTCTACGAACACGTTTGCTTACAAGGGGATCTACTCCGATGGTTTTAATAGCCATCAGTCAGACGAGATGCTGCTTGTGTTGGATGATCTTCAAAAGACTGCGCTGAAGTGCTCTATATGTGGTTTGTAGAGCTTTCGACGTAGCTACAGTGTCGGCGCAGATCCCTACGTAAGAGTGCGCCTGAAGACCGTTGAGTCGAACATGTGGGCTCTCGAAGCGTCGGAATCGTCAGCTTGTTAGTGACTTCTAAAGGCCCGAAGACGAACAGAACTGCTGCTCTTTTCCTGTTGAATTTCCTTAAATCTCTATGTTCATCAAACTTCCAAAGAACAAGTAAGAAAACGTTCCCATGATGAAGTGACTTTCTATTCCGTTTTCCGCACCTTTAAAGGTCTACATGCTAAAGTTCTTGCAATTCTGTAGTTTGGTCTTTTTTCTACTTCATTGAGTTCCTTCATCGTCTCTGCTTCAGCATACTGCTCAAGAAGCAATGTTGCCCGCAGAACGAAAATCTGGAGGAAACTCCCACCAACTCGTATGCCTTTCTTCGTTCCCGCATCACTCACTGCAAGATCGCTGTGAACAGCTTTTTGTGCCATATGCTTCCATCGTCCTTGTACCATCCTTCTACCAGTCTGCCAATGTCCTCACATAAGCTGGGTTCAATCCTTATTCGACTAACGCTGCAGGGGTGGAATTTCGATGACGTCAAACCTTTTTCGGTGGACGAAGGTTAGGACGAGAGGCACTCGGGACTTCCGGCAAATTTCTACAACCCTCGAAACCGCATGGATGTGGGTATGCAGCTGAATCCCTTCCTAATCCAGCTTTTTTGGGGCTGGGCTTCATCCGGTGCCCATGCTAGCGGGAACGACGTTGGTGATGAGCTAGTATATCACACTTAACAAGCATAATAGAAGATAGTTCCTAGAATCCTTTCGTTTGCCCTCCTTAAAGATGGAATTTTTTTTCGCCCAGCAGCTCTGCGAGCGTACTTTTCGTAAAGGCCCCTTCGGCACTTCTTGAGACATCCTCTTCCTTCGGCTACAAAGTATGCTCGCTTCCCTGTATTTCCGAAAATCCTCCTGCAATGTTCTGCGGCTGGCGTTAGCTACCAATCGCTCGGAGCAATTGCATTCGAACTCCGCCTCAAGGCTCTTCGTTTTCCGAGCAATCCCTTAAAGGCAGCGTTCAGCCAGATCTGGACCTATGAGGATTTTACGTGGAAAGTATTTTTGGGGTCCTAACTAAGGCACTGCTCAAGCGGCAGCGTAGGTAGTGCTCTAACGGCTAAGATGTTCCCCTCGAAAGTGGACCCCACGATCGTATCCGCATGGATTCATGGCAGTTTCGCGCCAGGACACACGCTTTGCGCCATTAGTCCATGCGAAATAGATCGCGGAGTCCAGTTTCGAGGGGAATACCTCAGCCGTTAGAGCACTACCTGAGCTGCCGGTTGGGCAGTGGCTTACTCAGGGCCCCAAAATTACTATCCACGTGAGATCCCCATGTGTCCAGACTTGCCTGGACGCTGCCTTTAGTAGCCTGCAAGAATCATTCCCAGTTCTTCTCATAAGTTTTAATGCATTATTTGCGCAGGCTTTCAACCTTCTCAGGAGTCGAGCAGTTGTACTTTGAATCCTCCTCGGGCCAGTTACAACTTGTTATAAGCTCCCCCAGCTTGTTACTGTGGCATTCGACCCCCTTCCTTCCTGCGACACTATGGCAGCTCTTCCAGATTATGAAAATCGTGGAGGCAGTGATTAGAGCCACTGCAGGCAGTTGGCTAGTAAATCGACCAAGATCTACTTTGGTTGTGGAAATGGTCGATCACTGCATGAGTCGCTGCGTTCCCCGTGCCCATCGAAGAATCATTTTCCTTTCATAAAGTTAGAGGAAAGTGTGCGGCGTAGAAAAGACCAAACGGATGTTTTTGTTGCGAGGCCCATATTCAAGCTAGCTTTGCGCGATGCTACATGTACCAAATGTATTCTGCAGCATCGACAGGAACGTAAAGTTTGGCGTTTGTGAAGTGTTTTGGGGTCGCAAATGCAGAGCACGAGGCAGTTTCCATGGCGTGTCGTCGCAGACATGTCAGTTTCGTCCCGTTGTATTGTTTTTGTCCAGTGTCTCTATCTAGCATTTCAAAATTCAAATTTTTTTGGTATCAGAAAATTCCATTGTTGCTGAACCCAAATCTCGTAGAACATCGGGCGAGCAAAAGTGTGTGTCATTTGATGCAATTTCTTTTCTCTTTCTGACAGGCGTTTTTTCTCGATTCGTGAAGGCTTCGAGAATGAACTTAGCACACAGCTTCTTAGGTTTAGGGACCATGGCGCACCCAAAATTTCCCGATCCGATAATTCGAAGTTTTGTTTTTGTTTGTATAATCAGTGTCAAGCAATAATCAGCTTTTGAAATTTTCAAACCCTGAAGATTCGAAATAAATTTCAAAAAAGTCAATTCAAAAGTACTAAATTAGCTTGAAATGCTCGAAAATTCAGTTTATTGCAAATTGTTTGATTATTTGCTTGTTATGAAGCTTTTGCAAAATTAGAATGAAAAGTTTGGGAAATGGCTAAGTGGAACTCTATGGTTCGAAACTAGGACTATTGTTCGCAAGAGAAACCAGTTCAGAAACATAACTGCTGAAAATAGGAAGGGAAACTGCGCTAAACGGCTCTCCATTTGCCTATCTTGAATGCACTTGATTTTATGATGAGTCTAAACACGAGACATGAGCTCGGAACGAATATACAAGGTGTTCCAGAAAATGATTAAGCGTTAAATCGCTGAGAATTCCTTGTCTGCGCAACCGCAGATTTTGTTTCATGTGTGGCTTCAACTCAGATCTACGGTAGAATGTGGGGCAGCGTTTCATATACATTACTTTAGGCCTACGTTAAAATCGGAATAGTTTTGGGATAAGGAGAGCATATCTTGCTCCAAGGATTGTCGTAAGAGCTAAAAATTCTGCCCCTTATAAGGAAACAATATTCGGTGTCCGTGGCCTTGTGAGATGGGATGTAAAAACCACTACACTCGTCTTGGAACGCTGATTCGTAATCTGACTTTCGATTCTGTTGATTTCTTTGAAAAAAGTTGTGGAAGATTTTCAAAAAGAACCCTCATTGGGTAGGAGAACGAGCTCCGCCAGTTTGATTCGCCTCCGCGGGCCACTGGTCTTGCAACGACACGCAACAATATAAAAAGGGCCGGTTGCCATCGAAGACAGGCTCAAACTGGCAGAGTGCTTTCCCCTACCCACCCTAATTGAGACTATGGAAACTAAAAAACACAAAAGGACTTGAAGGATCTGCATCACTCAAACTGGCAGAGTGCGTCCCCCTACCCACCCTAATTGAGGCTATGCAAAACTAAAAAACACAAAAGGACTTGAAGGGTCCGCATCATCATATGAGACTATTGCACTAGCCACTACTCCGCAACGTACCGGCGGAATTGGCGTATTTCCCTCGGGCGGCCAAACTTACGCGAAAATTCTATATAACTTCTTTCAGAGAAACGAATAGCAGAAACGGAAGTCGATTTGGAATCAGGGTCCCAAGACGAATGTAACCGTATACGACTCCTCGCAAAAGAACATCGAGTAACGTTCCTTGTTAGCTGTTGATTCCACTTATGGGATTTTCGCTTCAATGGAAATTTTTGCTCAAAAGTTATGATGATATAGCTAATAGCGATTTTCTCACGTTACCAAAAATCTGATCATACCTCTAAATTGCTCTACAAACATAACTCGGTTATTTACTAGGCTCAGAAATGCAATAACGACGTTGTGCCGGAAGCGTTTGCTTTAACCCTAAACTAATAAAGAGAAAAAGAAGATTCGTCCGGATTCGTTTCGTGCTTCAGTTTAGATTCAAGCTATCCCTACAACTTGCTGCCTACACGAGAGCTATCCAGACAAAAAAGCGTTAGCGAAACGCTCGATACATGTCTTGGTACACCCTGTGTATGACATATTGATGTGACCTTTCTAGTTGTTTTCTCGAGGAGTTTTAGTGTTTTCATGAAAAGACCGAAGACTCTGTCTTCATCGATTGGTTTTGACACATCGAGCGGAGTTTTCATGGTGACAGCTCTGTAAAATCACTATTTTAGGCTTCGCAAACTCAACACTACTCAAAAGTAGCAACCTATCTATCATGAATACAACTTCAGGTTCTAGTTTTCTCACTACCTGAGTAAAGTTGAAGGAAAATTGACAATTGGGATAAAACATTTCACATCCTAAAAGTCATCGCTATTAATGAATCGACATATGAGTGAAGCTTTGTGAAAACAAACATACTTGATATACAAAATATGTTGAACTGCCTTGCATACCGTTTGAATGCCTTGTAAATGACATCGCCTTGGTTGCAGGCAAAGCTATTGCCAGCGACCAGCATGTCTATCCTGCCATTTCCACTCTAAAGACAAGAAAATAATCAATATGCAGCGTACACAAATACACACTCACCTTTATTTTTCTGCAGAGCGAGGTTCAACTTAGAATCAAATTATGAAACAAATCTCTCTCCCCTACCCTTATAATGGTCGACCGCCTCATCGTGGCGTGGAGGTGTCACTGGGTGTCGAACTGCGATGCACAGCTGAGTGTATACTCTGGGAAGGTTTCCCAAGCTGTGGAGGAGTTCGACGTTTTCGGTTTCGGCCGGATGCCTTGTTAAAAGCCAGCCAGGCCCCCGGGTAAGCGATCGCCCCCCTAAAGGTCTCCACACTCTTCTAGACGCTGCGGAGCACATCAAGTACCACATCATCGCTCTGCAGGAGACGGATTTCAAGAAAAAGGACGTGCGACAGATGAGTGATGGAACGCTCATCATTCGTTGTGAGAAAGTTCCATCACGAAATGTTAGAGGCGTTGGCTTTGTCGTCCACTCATCTATCGTCCATCTTGTCGATTCGCACGAGTTACTTTCATCTCAACTAGCCTTCCTGCGACTGCGACCTCCACGTCAAAAGACCATCAGCATCAGCAACTGCTACTCTCCAACATCACAGCTGACGAATCAGAACTAGGAGCTTTCTAAGATGATGTGGAGGAGGTCGTTCGCAACGGAAAGTCCTTTAACAAGCTTGTTGTTTGCGACTTTAACGCGAAAATCGGGATGCCACTAGAAAAGAAATCTAGGACTGGGAAGTTTGGATATGGCTCCGGAACGAAAACGGCAACCTTCTCGTTGGGATGCTCTTCTTATAAAGAAAGAACATTACCGGTGGACATGGAATCGCCAAACAGAACGACTCACGAGGAGATCGACTACATTCTTATCAACCGGAGATGGAACTTGCTTGATGTCTCAGTAGTTCCATCCTTCTGCAGTGGTTTTAATCACTGTCTCCTTCGAGCAAAGGTATTATTCAGTCGAAAGCTGGAAAAGAAGGTCTGCCACAGTATCTCAAGAAAGAAGGAATTCATTTATGACGGTAACAGGTTAGAAGATCATATCAAGTTGTGACTGCCCATTAAGGGGGACCCAACGTACGATTACGACCTGCTTCTGAAAGGATTGCGAGCCTGTGGAAAGTGCGCCTCAGTGACTTCTGAGAAGATTTTGGAAATTTCGAAAACCACCAGCGAATTGCTCGAAAGAAGAAGATTTCTGAGGCAGGATCCGAGTGCAACCAATTTCGAGCGACTGATAGCCAACGCCAGTTGCACAACAGTTTTGCAGGAGGATCTCAGGAAGTATAGGCAAGCCAAGATACTGGAAGCAGCCGAAGGGAGACGAAGTCTCAAGAAGTGCCAAAAGGACCTCTGTGGATATCGCGTACCGCTGGCTGCACTACTGAACGAAGACGGGACTCTTACTTTTTTCCGATATAAGATGGAGTCGATCGCGAAGAACTTCTACACCAACCTCTTCCGATCATCAACACCCGTGCTGATGCCCGTTGTTCCCACTGGAAAGGTACCACCAAGGATTTTACCTGCTGAAGTGCGTATCGCGATACAGACCCTGAAAATGTCCACGGCTCCAGGACCAAATCCTCCTTCCGTCGAACTTCTGCGAGCCGGAGGACAACGTCTACACGAGGTTCTAGCGTCGCATTTGACATCTTACCTTTAGAGGGAGAAGATTCAACTAGTAGAGAATATACCTGCTAAGTGTGCTGTACAAGCTTTTCACGGAGATATCCTCCCTCGCATATTTAGGACACTGGATGAGGCGCAACCCCATTAGAAAGTTGGATTCCGCAAAGAATTCAGCTTTATGAACCACCTTCCAAGACTGGCTCAATTCTGCAGCACCAACATTCCACAGTGGCTCCAATTATCGCCCCTTCAAGCAAAAGGTATGATTCATTCAAAAGTTGAAAAAGACGGTTTGCCATAGCGTCGCAGGAAGGGAAGAGCTCTAATGCGACGGTAGCTGGCTGGAAAAGCTTATAATTCGCCTATTGACGGAGACTCAACACACGACGAGGATCGGCTTTGGAAGGTTTGCGAACCTGCAAGAATGTGCCTCAGCGACTTATAGAAACTTGAAAAGCAATTTTAAAGTATTGTCCAAGCTCGACCGTCGCTCAATCTCGGCATTGTTTGATTGCTTTTTGAGACTGCTTGAACTGCACACCGAGATTATTAATTTCTTTATTGACTGACGTTTCGGCATTATCGCCTTCTTCAAAGTCTGAAATTGTCGAATGCATAGGTGATCTATCCTTCCAAAAACCGTATCAAGACTCAGAAAAGATGTCCAATGCGTCAGAAAACCAAGAGCTACAAAAGTAAATGCAGAATTAAACTAGTGCTCACCTATCTTACTGTTTAGTCAATAAAGAAGTTACTAATCTCGGTGTACAGCTCAAGCAGTCTCAAAAAGCAATCAAGCAATTTTAAAGGCCATCAGAGTACTAGTTGAGAAAAGAACTTGAGTCATGGTAGGAATGCAACTCATCACAGTGACCAATAGCGAACGCTAGTTGCAGGACAACTCTGCAAGGGGGGGGGTCCTCAAAAGTACATACAAACGAAGGTACTGGAGAGCTGAATAAAGCCTTGGTCTCAAGAAGTAGGGCTTTTACGAAGACCATATACCGTTGGCAGCGCTGGTAAACAAAGACGAAAGTGCGGTTTTTTTTCCGACATAAGATGGAATCTATCACAAGAAACTTCTACCTCTTTCGCCCATGAAGCAACATCCGTTCCCATCTTCCTACTGAAGTGTATCACTGTCGCCAAGCGACAACAAAAAAACAAGCAAATATTTGAGGTTTGTAAGATACCGTACTCTCATACTTGCAAACTTTACTTCAGGATATCGAAAACAGCGCGACCGAGTGACTCAGAGTGGCAGCTGCGCCAGATGGCAACGAACGATCCCGATTATGAGGAGCTTCATTTGGTGTTCACGCGGATGCGCTCCGCGCACTCGCTTTATCATAAGTTTGATCTTTTTGATTATGAAAACTATCCCCTAGACAGGTGTCGTAGTTTACTATAGTCGTCCTCACCCCACTAGTCGGTCAGTGGACGGATTCGAATTCGAGCAAAAGCAGGCTGATGGCGACGGAGCGCGACTTCTGAACCCTCAGTTCAGTTTTGTTTCTTTGTAGTTCTTTTATTGTAGTTGTTTGTTAACCTTTGTGCTATAAGTATGTTCGTTTTCAAAATACTATGTCATTGTTGTCGCACTATTTTGTTTCGCTATGCTCGTTACTTATTATAGAAACAATACAGATGGGAAAACCTCTGCTGCAAATCTATCTCTTTTGTAACTGACACGTGCAGAAGTGTTGTTTTAGTGATCAACGTCACAAAATTTTTCCATCTGCATTGCTTCTAGAAGCTTAAATGAAATCACTCAAGCAAAAACCGAGCTCAACTGCGCGAAACAACAACAATAACAAAACGCAAATTTGACTAGAAAGGTTGGAATAGTAAAATTAACAAGCAACAATGTATAAAAACCAAAAAGAAATATGCGTAGTTCTGAACTGAGGGTTCGAGTGCCGCGCTCTTCCGCGACTGGCCTGCTCCAGTTTGAATTCGAATTCGTCCACTAAGCCGACTAGTGGGGTGAGGACGACTATACATGATTCTCAGTCGCTCCGTTTGCATTTAGTTCTCTACTGATTTTGTAAGAAAATCATAAACAAAGCAAAGCTCAAGTATTAGGTCGTTCCGAAAGTAATGTCGCTTTTTTTCAAGTGAACGCTACATCTCGTAGAAGCAAGATTTCTGGGAAATTCTGGTAGCCTTCAATGCAGCATTCATTTTCTTTCTAATGGCTATAATTTCACTGCAGAATACTCGATGAGCTTTTGAAAAATTACTAAAACCTCCGACGCATGCTTTCTGGGAAGGTCAAGTTTCACAATTTTTCTAACTTTTTGTAATAACTCTTAGAAGGAGTCCAAGTAATGAATGAAAGAGAAACCCTATAGGAAACCCTACCATTTTTTCTGCTCTCCATATCTCGTCATAATTTTTGTCATAGATTTTCATGAAGCCACCGTATTTTTGCAAGCTTGTCTCAAACACATATGCATCAAACACCAATAAACTTCCGGATTCTGAAACTTACTGTTGTAGAGCTGTTCAGCGTAATTGGAACTCGCTCGTTATTGATAGCCAGTGCTGAGTCGGCCTATGTGGCTGCGGCATACCCGCCGCACCTTGATATACAGGGTGTCCAAAAAGATGTTAACACTGTTTGATCGTTAATAACTCCCTTGATTTCAAGTCTTTCGCCGAGCTTTAGGTACTATTTTGTAGAGCGAGGATAAACTTAGATTTGCAGTATCGAGCGAATCATCTAACTCTCCTCGTTACTGTAGAATTACGGTAGGAAATTTGACAAGGATTTTAGGCCATTGAAACCCATTTTCTGCTTCGGAACAGAGCCAAGCAAGCCAAAATCTCTTGTACTATGATAATGGAAGCCGCTAATTTCGGATATGCAATTTTCACTTCATTACGTTACTTCTTTTCAAAGTTATCTTAGGTAAAGTGTAATAACTGATTTCCCAGCATGTGTTAAAAATGTGATTACACCGTCAAAAAAGCTGAAAACACTCGTAAAAAGTTTTGTAGTAAAATCAGCGTGCGCGAAAACCCTAGTACACGAATTTTCAGATTTTTTGAAAAAAATGTTGTCAGAGGGATATTTCACGACGGTTCCACATACTGGAATTTCCTATCGTAATTCTACAGTAACGAGGAGCGTTAGATGATTCGCTCGGTACTGAAAATCTAAGTTTATCCTCGCTCTACAAAATTGTACCTAAAGCTCGGCGAAAGACTTGAAAGCAAGGGAGTTATTAACGATCAAACAGTGTTAACATCTTTTTGGGACACCCTGTATTTACGTGTTGTTATTGCATTGATCTCAGTGAACCCGCGGCATATACGGCTATGTGTATAAGGGGAATCTTTGTG